GTCATGAATTATTGTAAGCACAAGCAATCACTTTTACCACAGGATTAAAGCTACAAGGTATAAAATGAAATCTAACAGAGATATCATCTACTAAAGTTACATTGCAGTCAATGGTAAAAGTCAACCATAAGCCTTGTATGACATCAGGTTTAGCCACACCCCTTGACAGGATGTAAAATGGCAGGAAGCAAAATGAGCAACTTTGAAGGCTTATATCACCGTGAATAATTTTTTCCAGACAATGAAACTTTCCATATAGCAGTTTTATGATCATATGATCATGTCAGGTCAATAAAAAATGGCAGTGGCTCCTGCGCCGTAAACGGTTCTTAATTTTTATATCTTAATGAGCCGTTTACGGCCCGCATACCAGTTTTTACGGAGAGCCGTAAAGTGAAACTCACGTGATCAAGTTAAGATGGCAGGTATCGGTCAGTTAGATGATGGTGAAGACGAAGGTGAGGACGATAGCCTCATGGAAGTAGCTGACGAAGGGACCAGAGTTGTTACTAACTCTACTGATTTCAGAGTTGGCCAAACCTTCGAGACCAATGACGACTTATCTAAGAAGATTTCTGAATATGAAAGAGCCCATTTTGTCCAGCTTTGGAAACGGGACACTAAGACGGTCGAAGCAGCCCAAAAGATGCTGAGCAGGACATTGTCAAGCCGTATTAAGTACTATGTCCTTACTTATGCTTGTATTCATGGAGGTAGGAAGTTCAAAGCTCGTGGTGAAGGAAAAAGAAGTACACAGTATGCCACTGAGGCCATGTGCATCATCATGCCAGCATGCATGTGCCAATAAAGATTATCTGTCCACAGCCCACCCCTATCAATGATTCTTTTTATGTAGAACATTTCAAAAGGAATGTCCATTTGAGTTAAAACTGAGAGCATCTGTAGATGGAAATTTTCTTGAAGTGAGAGACTTTAACGAAAGTCACAATCATGAGATTACTCGAGTAAGTTAAGCCAAAAAAACCTTAAAATTTTGTATTATAATGACAAAATAAGTATGTTGATCATTTTTATAGGAGTTATTTAAGCAACTTCCAACACAGCGGAAGTTGTCTGCTCAAGAGCAAGCTTCTGCTAGGCATTTGCTGTCATTAAAAGCAAACAAGAAGATGGTCCAGGACAACTTATCAGCTGATACAGGCAAAGTTGTGTTACTGAAGGACCTTAGCAACATAATGAGACGAGACACAAGCGATACTAGAAACAATCTTAACCAAACAGTCAAGTTATTAACAGAAAAGTTTGGTGAATAAAGACATTATTTAAGCCTTGTGCAAGTATTGTTATTTTTATTACTTTAGGCGCATCAGTTGAGCTATTATTAGGAGAAAATAATGTCCTTTTTGGTGTCTATTTTCAGGATGTGCAAATGAAGAACATCTTAAATTCTTATCCAGAAGTAGTTTGTGTGGATGCTACTTATAAGCTCCTAGAGTTGCGATTTCCAGTTTACATCATGCTCATTGAAGATGGCAATGGTCAAAGTGAAATCGTTGCTGTATTTCTGTTACAAGAAGAGACTGAAGAGTCAATTTCTTCTGTCATTGATATGTTTATTAGACAAAATCCAGCCTCTTCAAAAGTTCGTATTATAATTACAGATAAAGATATGACGGAGCGTGATGTATTAGCTAGAAAGTTTCCTTCTGCTCAGTTACTGATATGTTTGTTTCATACCCTAAGAACATTTCGTCGTGAAGTAACATTGGAGAAAATGGGGATTACTCCAGGCCAGCGCAATTTATACTTAGATCTCATGCAACAAATGGCTTATGCAGCCTCAGAAGAAAAGTATTTGGAAGTTTATGAAAGATTTAAAGATTCAGCTGTACCCTTGGTGAGGCAATATTTTGACACTCAGTGGCATTCGATTCGCTCCCAGTGGGTTGTTGGTCTAAAGCACAGTTATGGAAGTTTTTTAAATAGTACCAATAATCGTGTCGAGTGTATTAATTCAAAATTGAAGTCTGTGATTGACAGGTACAGTTCTTTGGAAGATTTTGTGGAGAAGTTTTTTTTGATTTTACGTGTCATGCGTTCTGAACGTGATCATAGAGCTATTCAATCATCTCAAAAAGTTCCCGTAATTTTTCATACAGCCGATCCTGCTGTTGTAAAATATATGAAGCTACTTACCCCATATGCTTTTAAGTATTTTTCTCAGCAGTTAGCTTTGAAAGGGAAGGTATCTCTTAAAACTACCGATTTGTCACTTGAAGCTAATGACACGAATCAAATTTACGAAGTTACTTGCTCTAGTGGAGTTACACTTAATGTTTCTGTAAATGATTGCCAATGTTCATCTTGGACTTCAATGAAAGCTTCCCTGCCGACATATCTTAGCAGTGAGAGATAAGGTAAAGATTGATCTTTATTCTGAAGAGCTATGTGATAAAAGGTGGCAAATTTCTTATTACAAGTCATGTCAACGTGCCTATACTGCTGATTCAAATGATGGTGGTGCTGAATCACCTGGATGTGTTAATTCAGTGTGTATTTCTTCAAAAAAGAAGAGGATACTTTCTCAGGTAGATTGTATGCCCTTTTTAGAATTTCAATAAGGCTATTACAAATCTATTTATAGTAGACTTAATCGAATGTAAAATGAATACACATTAATATGACAGATTGTAATTACACAATAAGGCTATTACAAATCTATTTCTAGTAGACTTAATCGAATGTAAATGGTCATATTTTTTATTTTATATGGAAGTCTGAGAAGTTTCGCAGAGTTTCTAAATTGACAACCAAACTGGCTTTTTTAGCATCTGAAGATAGTGGTCATAGGTTTAATGATAGATGTGAAGTATTGAAATTTATTGCAACAGAATGGGAAAATGGAAGAGGAGTTAGAGTTGAGAAAGGTATCCTATATTGTACCTTATTGTAGTAATGATCATTGTAAAGCAGAGAAAGATGAAGTTGAGAGCTGTATTTTAAATTCAGATGAGAATGACGTACTTGATTATGGACAATCTGATGAAGGTTTGTGTTATGTTATGCAAAAATATTTATTATTTTACTTTTGAAGAAATGCAAGTGCACCATGAGGATGAAAATTGTGTCATTGGTGTGTACATGTATTCATGTTTTTATACTTTTTAATAACTTTTAATTCCCTTTCAGATGAATTGCCACATCCAAAAAAAGCCCCAAAAATTGGTATTATAGGTAATAAGAATGTGCATATTAAAAAAATACACATACTGTCTTAATTTTTAATTGATTTTTAGGTGATAGTTCTATTGATGATTTTTTGTCTCAAGAATTGTTTGCATCTGATTCTATAGCACCAATTGATATTGCTTCACAGTTGCCAGAACCTGCTACAGGTATAATTAATTTAATGTTTGTCATTAAGATTAATTATTGTGGTGCTATACAGACAAGCTTCCTTCTACTGCACCTGTAGTTTCAATATCAAGTTAGTAACTTTCTTTTATCTGTTGGATTAAGTAACTGCATGAAACATAGAGATCAAAATGCCTCCTATTATTAAGAAAGGGGGGCGTCCAAAGGGTCATGAATTGACTGTAGTTGGTTTGCCCAGAAGGAAAATCAGAAAAAAGGATTAAGTCTTGCCTTTTATCTCATTACATGTATCAGTCAAAGAAAAAGGTTAGTATATGTGCTTGTGCATTATTGTTTATATTGATTTTTATAGTAATGTTGAAATGGTTTGTGGATGAACAAATTGTTGATAAAGCTTTGAAAGATTCAAGTATTTTAATTGATGAAAGTGAAGTTGAAGTAAGGCCTGAGAAGCTACCGGATGCCTTAAGGGACGAGAATGTTGAAGTTCACTTAATAAGGAAGTTCTTCACTGAGGATGCATGGCTGCTTGTCAAACAAGCTTGTGAATAGAAACAGATCAGTGTTTACATTTGCAAGACATGCAATAAAGATCTCAATGAGGCACAATCAATTGTGTGTGATCACTGCTTAGATTGGAATCATTTGCATTGTGTAGGACTAAATAAAGCACCTAAGAAGAAGTATTGGTTCTGTAAAATGTGTTATGCATCTTGCTCTCATTGATTGATTACTGACATTATAATTGTTTATTGGAGAAAATACTTTTAATAATAAAATCAGTTTGCAAGATAAGAATCAAAGATGTTCTTCACTTGCACATCCTGAAAATAGACACCAAAAAGGACATTATTTTCTCAGTCCTAATAATAGCTCAACTGATGTGCCTAAAGTAATAAAAATAACAATACTTGCAATAGGTCTCGAAGGTTTGGCCAACTCTGAAATCAGTAGAGTTAGTAACAACTCTGGTCCCTTCGTCAGCTACTTCCATGAGGCTATCGTCCTCACCTTCGTCTTCACCATCATCTAACTGACTGATACCTGCCATCTTAACTTGATCACGTGAGTTTCACTTTACGGCTCTCCGTAAAAACTGGTATGCGGGCCGTAAACGGCTCATTAAGATATAAAAATTAAGAACCGTTTACGGCGCAGGAGCCACTGCCATAAAAAATACACCAAAAAATCATGTCAGTTACACTTTAAGTGGAGGGTCTGATTCACCAGCAGTCTTTAAAACACTTACAGCAGCACCAACATCATTTTCTCCTGTACATTTGCTAATTTTGGTCTTTATTTTCATAAATACCTATGCGTAAGGTCTTCTTTTACCATTGTACTGAGGTCTTTTTGTTTATTAATCATGTGGAGCAGACATTGACAATGACCAACAAGGGTCAACAAAAGATTTTGGTACAGGCTTAAAGTATTTCTCCATTACATTTATAGCATGTGTGCTAGTGCACACATACATGAATGCTATGCCACACGTTGACCACACTCATAATAGGCTATTAAATAATTGACGTGACTAATGGCTAAACAATCTTATAAGTGTAAAAGTTGTCCTAAGATTGATTTCATCACCTTGCGTGTATAGTAGGCATTTATTTCTTTTTAATAATTATAAAGGTTCTATCTACCTTGTAGTGATTCTTGATAAGTCCTTTAGGCATCATCTTTGCTTTATTCTTTTTGCTAAAAAGGTCATAACTTTGTCCTGCTTCCGAACCACCATTTTGTTTTCCATGATCACACCCACTTACATGAGGGGCTTGTTGGAGCATTGCTAAGTGAGTCAAAATTGCTATTTCTTCAATACAACGTGCATAGAAGACAAGAAGAAATGTAAGTGTCGACATACAATCAATTATTTTACATCACGGGGGCTGAATTCAATCTGAGGAATGACCTTGGGCCATTGCCACAAGGTCGTGAAAACATGACTTAAATTGTCATGTTATACAAAATTTGCCACAAAAATGAAACTTAGTCCCCATGAGACTTTACAGTATGTACAATAGTAACTGAGGCAACACCAGTAAAAACACTAATGGTCCACCCTTCAAACACTACTGCTGCTACTGGTATGTGGCAAATTATAACATAATTTTTACAAAACCTAATTGAAAGCTCCAACAATGCCATTTTCTTTAAGTGCTCCTGAAACTAGTGTTACTGGAAGTACTGTCCACAGATAATGTGACATAATGTGTGTAAAATCATAATATTTTAGTGCAATCAACAACTAGTACCTTAGCTACCAAGACAGCTCCCTGCAGTTTAGCCAATGCATTAGCATCTTCTAGTAAACATGCATCAATATAAATAATTAATTTTGACAACGATGGTACATAAGTATCACATAATGATTGCGTTGTATAGATATTCCATTTACTGGATACCCTGGGCTGAAAGTACATATGACAGGGAATGCACCCATTGGTTTCTTCCATTTGCTTGTCACAGAAAATATTAAAAACAACAACTATCAGGATTGAACAAAATGTGACTCAATATGAGAAAACCAGGCTATCTGCGGAATTTTGGTAAAATCGGTTTTTGGTACACAGTTAGAGAAAAAAATTCCTTTCCAACAATGACATTTATGACAATGCACAATAAAAATTTGAAATTAGGGACGCTGATTGCACGATTGCTCTGGAGTACAAGTACAGACAAAAAGCCATTTTAAGTTATTTTAATGTAGGGTTGCACCTATTATGCCAGCATAATTCTGGGAATAAAAAGGAATAATCGGTTGAAACCGGGAATAAAATGAAAATGCCAACTAAAAAAGGTGATGGCATTGAGCAGATTGAAGATCTGGTGAAAGATGAACTTGAAGCTACTACAGAGGCTACATCAGAGTGTACAGAGATACTTAGTAAATCTGATTCAGAATATGATGAGTCTAGTTCAAGTAGTTTTGTGAAGACTACCTTGAGTTAACTACGTTCACTTACTTCATCAGAACGTGCAAGAAAGAGAAGAGTAGACAGAAACCCAACAAAAGGATAAAGGCAATCTGGTGCTTGTGGAAGGAATGATCCGTAAAATATTACCCCTGATAAAGTAAATCAGCTAGGCAAAGAATCATTGACTGTTTCCAAGAATAAATTGTTTTGCATAGCTTGCTGAGAAGAGTTATCAGTCAAGAGCAGTGTATTACACATGCACATTTAATCACGTCAGCAGTAAGGAGCAGTTGTCTTCCAAGGAAATGATTGAAGGGGTAAGAGAAAAGTAGAGGCTGAGGGTATCAAGGAGATACATTACCTACAAATCTACAAGTTTACAAAGTAAAAGTTGTCTAGGCATTTTCGAAAAGTGGTATACCCATTCACAAAATCAATGGATTTCAGGATATATTACAAGAGAATGCTCTACGTTTAAAAGATAGACTACACTTGTCAGATCTTATACCATTTATATTGGAGCAAGAAGTCAATAGGATTAAAGAAGAAATCGCTGAAAAGCAAGTATCATTTATACTTGATGGTACTACTCAACTATAGTAAAGCGCCAATAAATGGCCACGCCCATCAAACAGACGCTGGTGCTCTTCTGCTGGGCTGTTGTATCAAGATTCCATAGTTGCATTTGCTAGAGCTTTTACAAAGCCATAGGGTACATGCAACATTGGAATGGATGGATTCCTCTTGCTTTGACAGAAAGCTTTTTAATGATAAGTCCGGACAAACATTTTCCTAAAAAAATTCCATTCTGCGGACGATGGCTACTATACAGCACAGAAGGTGCTAATAGCTCACCCAGCAGTACTGTTAGAAAGGACTATGATTGTAGTGTATAGACAGCAAGTTACAGCTTGCTATCTTTACTTTTTGCAAAAAATACTCCAGTGTACATGCACCTATAGATGCCAATATTCGGAAGGCTCGTTATTCAGACAATTGGAACCTTATTTCTTTTTAGCTGTGTTTATGACTGCAAAAATGTTTCTTTATTTTAAAAAATTTGTAGTGATACACCACTAGTCTAGATACCTAACTGCTTGTTAATTTGTTAATAATAACAATAATAATAATAATACTATGGGGCTTAGCATGGCCATGCCCTATTGGCAATGAGAATGCTCAGAAGCCTCGTGTTCAGAGTGAGAGAAAAAGAAATTGTTTTGATGGTTGTTTAATTCTTGTTTGTGCTTCAGTGGACCAGTGCTCTGCTTTCAAGTGGAAGTGTTGTCTACATTGTAAGTTTACAACACTGAACAACAATGCTATGATTGTTTTTCACTTTTTATGCAGCCTAGGCATGGTGCTAAACTGCTAAATTGCTGTGTATATACTTTATTATGGCAGCTTCGGCGTTCTTCATTCCTCTGAAAAAAAGATTAGTTATTAGTAGTAAAACACAGATAGATATACCTACACAACCATCTATGCTTTAGTCACGTCGCCCCCATATTTATAAATTCTGGAATGATGATAAATTAAGTAGAGCAATGGGTGCAATACATGACAGTATGAGTGTTAGACGAGCTGCAGAAGAAAATAGAATACCACGCTCAACTTTGCACGATCACTATAGTGGCAAAATTGCTCATGGGTCTAGCAGTGATCCGAAACGATATCTTGATTCAATAGAAAAGGCCAAATTGGCACAATTTTTGACAGATAGCTCGTTAAAAGGATATTCACATACTCCTAAACAAGTAGTTGTGCTAGTTCAAAATGTAGTTGATACGAAAGGCATGAATGTTAAAGTTTCCAATAGCTAGAGGAAATCTTTCTGCTCTAGACACTCTGATTTAACTGTCAGAACTGCTGAAGTTTTAACTAACATGCGTCTAAAAGGCAGTAGCAAACAAATTATCGGAAATTATTTTGATTTACTCGAAACAACTATTTCACATGATAAGCTAGCTGACCTTCCCTGTCAAATCTTTAACTTAGATGAATCTAGATTCCCATTGAGCCCAAAGCCTCCAAAAATAGTGACAAAAAAGGGAGAAAAGCATCCGATTGCATTATCTAGCAATGAAAAAACTAATAACGTGTTAGCTTACTGTAA